GGGCAAGGATTTGCAATAAACTTATCATTCTTTGTTACGTGGTTAATATGTAAATGACAATAATTAATGGAATGTCAAATGCCCACCGTCTTTTATTCTTCCCTTCTGTACAGTATGTATGATAATTTTTAGAATTTTCATAACATAATTGACTAAATTCCAGTGTAGCAGTATGAACTACATCACTTGTTGGAAAGGTTGTCAGCGGCATATACGAAGTGTCAAACAATGAGCAGTCAGATTTGTTTAAACCTCTTTTTTTAAAACCTTATTGTTGTCCATAACGTTCAAGTGCATAACTGACTAGTAACATTATAAGCCATCGACGAACATACAGTAATTACGTTTTTTTTACATATTTATTAATGAGCATTCAACTTTAAACAGTGAGACTATACTCATAGTTTCATATTCAAACTTACAGATTGTGTTTTTACCGACCAACATCAACTCATTTATGTATTCAAATTTTACATCAGAAAGGTGATATCCCAGAATCTTGTATAGGTGTGTATGGGTGTGTAGCATGAGTGTGTAACCATATTTAGAAAAAAAGTCTACTTCCGTCCAAAATTGTTCGCCATCTGTACACTCAAAATGTCCATTATATACTACACAATCCTAGCCAGTATATCTATTATTTGTTACTGCTCCTTGTTTATAAAGACTGGCCCTTGATTGATATATGTATTATGTAAAACCTTTCTAATTCAATGTAATGACAGCAATTTTGTTTGGTACTTCGAAAAAATTCTAAACGTCTTCAAATATATTGTAACTTCGTATCTTCACAAGGCTTAGCTCGCTCAAAAAGGGCCAAACTACATAACATGTTAAATTTTAAGATGAGCCATCTTGTTGTTTGCCCATTGACGTCATTTCAGACAGACTGATAGTAATAGTCCTTATCTGGTTGTTAGCCATCGATTAGCCAATCGACAAGGATTTGAAATAAACTTATCATTATTTGTTATGTCGTTGTATAAATGACAATAATGGAATATAAAATTAGAATTTTCAGCACATATTACTGAATCTCGATATAGCATGCGCAGTGTAAACTACATCACTTTTTTGAAAGGTTGTCACCGCTTATCGGAATATAAGACGTCTCAAACATTGAGGAGTCAGATTTTTAAACGTCTTTTTTAAAACCTTATTGCTGTCCATAACGTTCAAGTGCATAAGTGACTAGTAACATTATAAGTCATCACAAACATGTAGTAATTACATTTTTACATATCTCTTACTGAGCATTAAACTTAAATCAGTGACTATATCCATAGTTCCACATTTAAACTTGTAGATTGTATTTTTGCCCACCAACATCAACTCATTGCATTGCATTCAATCTTACATCAGAAAGGTGATATCCATCTTGTATAGGTGTGTAGCATGAGTGTGTAACCATACTCAGAAAAGAACCTTTCTACTTCCAACCACAATGTTTGACATTTGTACATTCAAAAAAGAAATGTCCAATATATTCTACACAATCCCAGACAGTACATATATTATTTGTTACTATTCCTTGTTTGCAAAGACTAGCCCTTCTTTGATGATATATATTATGTAAAATCTTCCATTCTAATGACAGCAATTTTTTTTGGCAATTCGAAAAAATTCTAAACGTCTTCAAATATATTACTCCCTCATAAAAAGGCCAAACTACATATTAACATTGCATGGGCCAATATGCACTTTATATGTTTGTGCACCATTGCAATGTATGTGCATTATTGTATGTACATGTAAGTCTACTGTTTATAATCGTAACATAATGAAGTCTAACTTCCGTTAGCATGGGCATAACGGGTGCCATTTTCATAGCATGACGTCAACCATTAAAGGCATATTTTATCATTTCTCTACCTCGCTATAGCTTGATACCCCTTTTTACGCTAAAAATTAAAACACATGTTTAGGAGAATTTCATATGCTGTAATGTAGGCAAAATGTATATCGAAATTTCTCCATTTACGCTGGAGGATGCTGACAGATGAATCTCTTTCTGTTGAAGCAAGCATCGTCGTCCCACATGGGGTATCCAGACCCTGAGAAGAG